ATTTTTTCGGACCTTTCCAATCAAAGTTATTTTTAGTAATTAAAGATGCTTATTCAAAGTGGCCGGAAGTGTTACCCGTTCCATCAACGCAAGCAAAACACACAATATCTCATCTTAGAGAATTGTTTGCTAGATTTGGCTTAGTAGATCACGTTGTCAGTGACAATGGACCACCTTTCACAAGTACAGAATTCCAAACATTTTTCCAAAAAAATTGAAACAAACACACATTTTCTCCACCATTCAACCCAAAGACTAATGGCTTAGCCGAGAATGCTGTAAGAACAGTAAAACACAAACTTACAGGTGAAGGGAGAGATGGATAGAGGCTACAGTTATTGAAAAACTGGGTCCTGTAACTTATTTAGTTGAACTAGAATCAGGCGTTCAGTGGAAGCATCACATAGACCAGTTGATAGCTTTACAGTCTAAGCTAGGGCAGCAGTCAGATTTAGTAGTAGAATTTCCCAAAAACGATCTGACAACGTCGCTTCCAGACAGCCAACCGGCAACATCGCGAAATTCGCCAGACCGCACACTGACAGGGAACAGTAGTGAAGGTATGCGAGCTCTTCCGGGCACAGTCGGACAGAGAACTCCGATATTGACTAGGTCACCTGGCGCAAACCAAAACATTGAAAGAGCGGGGTCATCGGCTTCGCCTCCAAATGTAAACAAATCGCCAAATGTAGACATACAGACGCCTACTAGACGCTTTCCTGTACGGGTGCGCAAACCTGTAATAAGATTAGACCTTTAATTGAATACCCGGACAAGACTTGTATATAGATTTAGGGTTAACATGGGAAACTCTAGAGCCGTTGGGGCGGAGCCCGAAAGGATTTTTGAGGTAAGAATATTTCTATATGTTAATCGAGAATATGAACTATCATCATACCAAATTTCAACACAATCCGATCAGTAGTTAACGCGTGATTGAACTTCAAACAAACAAATAAACAAACAAACATTTGCATTTATAATATTAGTTTGATATATCCTTATCAATGATTTTCAAATGTTTATTAATTGAATTGTGTGTACCCTTACTTGTGTTATCAATATTTAATATCATCAAGGTTCAATGTTTAATGCCATTAATGTTTATGATTTTAAGTTTGTGTTTCATTTGATTGTGTTTTTAATGTGTGATATTATCTCAATATTTTAGGGGTCTGCGGGTCAGACTTTTTTGGTTCGGGTCGGGTCGGGTCGGGCCGATAATTTTGGTCCTCGGGTTTCGGGCCAAAATCGGGTCGGGCCAAAAATTATTAATTACCGGATTTTTTATATTTTTTTAACTCCTATCTGTGTTTTTAATATTACTTGAAAATAACATATGGGAAAAAATGTATTTATGTATATTATTTCATGTTCATAACTTATTTACAGCTTAGAAGTTGCCTCAACTGCAAGAAAGAAGAAAATAATTTTTTTTATCAAGCCATTCTTTCCCATTTTCATAACTGTTGAAATATCTAAACAGCTATATTACAACAAGTTTGTAATGGAACTTAATATAAAAGGATCATAAACAAATCAATTAACCTTATCACAAGTTTAGGGCCTGTGGACTGCCTTCAAGACTGCAAGCAAGAAGAAAATAAAAATTCTATGTTTCTACCATGGAATATGAATCATTCATTCCCTGCCTCCTAACCTCCTAAGTACAAAAACCTCACACTTACAATAGCATTATTAGTTACATCATCATAAATAAAGAATTATCTATTATTGGCATTAGTAGGCCTACAGCTTTACATAGGAATTATTTTTTATAGGGCCTAAAATAGTAATAGACTAAGCAACATGACAAGTGGAGAACTCATTGAAGAAAAGATATTGTGTAAACTAATTTACTATAAAACTCTAAAACAGTAAAAATAGCACACATAGGCCTACATTGTTTATGGTATAGTTATAGTAAAGACTGTAAAAATTGCATATCATGTCATAGGTACACAGTTATAGATACACAGTTATAGGCACAGTTATAGGTATTGCAAGAGATCCTAAAACAACTGATTTTAGCTAATAAATGAAAAGAATTAAAAATCCATAAACTCAAGTCAAACAATATCACAATTATTAGGTACCCAAAAAGGAACTCTTAATATATAGAAAATTATATTAAATCAAGAGAAAAGAAAGTTAAATGCTAATTTGGCAACATAAGCAGACAGCAGAGACATTATAGTGCCCTAATTAGCAACACAACTCAATGTTTTTATACTGTAAGTCAATGTTTTTGAAACCGTAGGGTCTTTTTCTCGGAAGGAAGGGTAGTAGAATGTAAACAAAAAACCATGAATCACTCTCACAGCCGGGCCCGGGGACACTCAAGGTTACAGACCCTCCCCCTCCCCTCCCCTCCCCTCTTACACAACCAGAGCCAGGCCCGGGGACACTCAAGGTCATAGACCCTCCCCCTCCCCCGCCCCTATTACACCACCTGGTTGTTCCAATTGCTGACAAAATGCAAGTAACGAAACAAGGAAGTAGAGACAAAAAGATATATTTTCTTTATTCAAAAATATAAAACTGTTACAGATAATTTATAAACAAATTAATTCATGGTAGTTTGTGTCTTGTAAATATTGTATTGGATCTTAGAAATATCTTTTTTGAAACTCTATCTAACCTAAGAAAAAAATAATTTTACTGATGAAAACTTTCATAAAATAAAATTATAAAATATTTAGGCCTAACCTCTTTGTAGACTTGCTGATACTTGATACTTTAAAAAAAAATGAAATAGTGACCATACAATGCCTAACCAGACGATCAGAAGTGTTGTTTTGTTTTGTTACTGAATGACAAAAAGGACAATAGGAAAATAAAAGAACAAGATACAGATCTGTACACTATATCAGATATTTCTTTTGTTTATAATTTATTATGTAAATAAAATACTAAAATATATTTTATACTAGGTATGGAATAAACAATAAATAATTAAAATGGGACCTCTGGATAAATAGTCTTTCTTTTGACTTTGTTTTCTTTGCACTGTTGAGTCACGGCTTTTGTTTTGTCAGTAGACGACTGGCTCTGGCTAGTGACAGTAAGGCAATTGCTCTGTTGTGTCTTTGTTCTTAAACGTGAGCAAACTTAATATTTAATTCTAATTTTAACATTTTAATTCCTCTGTAATAATATATATAAGAGTGTTTCTTTGAAAATTACTTATTATAACTTTGAAAATAATAATAATTTTTTTTGGCCCGGAACAAATCTCTGACCCGACCCGGTCTCTCGGGCCTTCCGCTGGCCCGACCCGACCCGAAAAAATCGGGGACCCGCAGACCCCTACAATATTTTGACCATATATATATTTAGAAACTGATGATTGATTGATTCTCATTCTTATTTAAATGATTGACAAAAAAAATAATAAGATATTCTTATATTGTTATTTGTGATTGTAAGTTTTCAAGATTATAGTAACCGATAATATCACAAAACTTAAGAGGGGAGGATTGTACCATATTATTTCCAATAAATCAGCTCATGGCTATTTCCCGTGACGTCATATCACGCCACATCACGCCACTATCACACCACCTTTCCGAACGCAGCCTAAATCCCCTCTCCTCAAATCAGTCCACACCATGTCTTAGACCCGTCAACATCATATACCCTTTGAGGCCCTCTGAGCCTTTTTAAAATGTAACCAGTGTATTTACTTACAACACCCCATCCCTGACCCCTAAACGTACAGTACGATGCCGACGTACTGTACAGTTTATTTAGCTTATTTATAATTTTCTTTACCTACGACAGTGTTTTAAAGTAGCCGTTTCAGTTCAGTTCTTAGAATTGAAAAGTTACTTTCACATAACAGCATTGTTTACTTTCATAACAGCATAGTTTTACTCATAACAACACGGGTAACGGACCAATGAGGTTCAAGGATTGAGAGAGAAGTAAAACTGTAATGATTCGAACTTCAACTAATGAGCTGTTCAGGCCAATTTAATTGTTGAGTGGTGCAATTAGTATTTGGTACAATGTTTTGTTGCATAACTGTAAGTGGCAATGAGAGGTTATAAACAAAAACATAACCTCTCTTAGAAGTTATGAGTAGTGATTTTTTAGTAATTAAAACACTGTTGTAGGTAAAGTAGTGTATGCAACTTGCGTAAATAGTGTTAACGACACTCGCAGAAGTTTTCAAGGCACTCGCTAGGGCTTGTACCTTAAATTTTCTACTTGTATCATTAACACTACCTTTACACAATCGTTGCGTAAACTACTATTAGTTCATAGTCAGGAACGTTTTAATAAATACCGGACCTAGGCCCAGGAGCACAAGGTTTTACGTTTGTTGGAGGTGTAAGGAAGAGTTAAATTTCCCCACAAGATAGGTGGAGGTGGGCACAATTATCTCTAGAGCCCATTGCTAACCACATTTAAACCCTGGGCCTGTTTGGAGTATGTATTGATTTAAAATCAACATAAATGCTAACAATAATTAAAAATTAACAAAACGATTATCAATATTATTAGACCTTTTTAGTAATTTTTTTACTTTCTACCCCAAAATACATAATATATGGAGAAGTACTATTGTTTTTCTAACAACTTTTGAGTTTGAGTTTGAGTTTTGGGTGGAAATATCCGTTTTGGGGCCCTCTGAACCTAAAAAACTGGTTTTCGAAGTGATGTCTGTGTGGATGTGTACAGAGTGATTTTGATGATGTTTGGTATATACTAATCAGTTGCATCTCCAGGCATTTTTTTTTTATTTTGATTTTTAATGGTGATTTTTTTTATCCAAAAATAACAGAAAAATTATAGATTTTTAGAAAACTGATCTAAAGACTTTGATTAGCCTATAATTTTGTATGGTACGGCACTTTTAACTAAATAGTACATCTCCTAAGGCTGTAAAGATTACAGTTGATGATTTTACACATAAAATGTCATAATTACTCCCACATGAGGGTTTCTGACAAGGAAATGGGAGAAAGTATGTCAGTTTGCTGATGCTGACTCACTCTGAGACTGAATGGCTGGTTGAAGTCTACTCTCATGGCGCCGTAGTGAGACGTGAGGCAGGACCAGATGCTGGTCACAGCTGATTGGAAACTCTCCATCTGTTTGGGAGCCCCTGTCTGCTCTCGAACAAAGTTCCCATCCACAATCCGTTCATAGTTGATGCTCACAGGCACCAGCAGAGCATCATCTATGCTGCCGTCCATGTAGGCATCAACAAAAACACTCAGCAGTCCTCCTACCAAACAACAGCCATGTCTATTTTATTCTCCTCTTCATATATATATATTTTAAATAAGGATTAGTTGTCATCATATTATTTATTTTAAACAAGGATTAGCTGGGAAGAAATGTAATTACTAATTCACAACCATTTTAATGGTTATTCAAACACTTGTCATGGTATTACAGTATTCAACTATGTAATACTACTTTTGTATAGAATTTAAAAAACAACTTACAAAAAGTGTTTTATAACCCCTTTAAATGTCACAATTGTCACAAACAATTTACACATTAGCAATGTAACAAAACCAAACTTAAATCTTTAATAGTTCAAAAGCCTAACCCAATGAAAATAGAGATGGAGACTGTGCTTTACATGAGATTCAACTTGGGAGAGAAACCTAAAACTATGATTTTTTATTGTGGTTGATTGGCTGTAAATATATATATAGCAGAATACCCGTCCTTCGTACGGGGTTGGCATATATATTTGTATTATACAATTGTTTGGATAACGGGCTACTATTATAAATATTAAAGAAATCATACTAACTCAGTACCCTGAAATTATTTTTTATTTTTTAAAACTCTAGGCTACATGTTTCGACCTTTAGGCCATTTGCAAGAGTAACATATTTAACCTCACTTTAAACATAACAAATTGACTGTTTCACTAAAATTGAAACAGATATGACAGTTTTGGACTACGGATCAAAAGGAAATAAATTAGATACAAAAGAAGAATATCATATATACTGCAGCTACAAGAAAGATCCAATGAATATAATCAATACGATGCAAATAAAGAAACAAAATCCTATATATGAAACAATTTTAAAATTAAAGAATATTTAACATAAACGTCAAGAGAAAGATAAAATAAAAAACCATAATCAATTATATATATGACAAAATTTCATGACCAAAGATTATCCTACCATAAATTTTAAGAAAAAGAAAAACCATATGTCAAGATCATCACATGATGTTTATTTATTATCAGTCAATTTGTTGTGTTTAAAGTGAGGTTAAATATGGGACTCTTGTAAATGGCCTAAAGGTCGAAACATGTAGAGTTAACCCTCCGAGTGTCATGCGTCGCTGCAGCGATGCGTAACACACTTTGTGTAGTGTCATGCGTCGCTGCAGCGACTCACAAACACTGTTTACGGCGAAGGCTCTATGACTGACAAAATCGGATTGAACTGGATCGAGTTAGGTATCGTTCTTTTCGTTAGATTCTAAGCTTCCTCCAGAGGTCTGTCTCTAAGCGCTTTATGTTCTCCGAGCCGATCGTAATTGTAGCAGACAGCTGACGTGCGTATTTGTAAACAGGTTAGTTAACCTCGGACCAATGACTGATGTGTTTTATTATGTTTATCATTGTTTTAGTGTTAAAAATCAAAAGTAGTGATATACGTGGTGCATTATAAGAAGATTTAAGTGATTTTGAAGGGCTGGTTGATGATCCTGAAGAAGTAGGTAGTGATATTGATGTAAATTATCAGCCAGATTCCTAGCTATGGTTAGGCTATGCATTCTTAGCTAAACGCTATGTACTGAAATCTGTTTTTTGCCCATAACTTATTTATTTGCAAATTTTCTTCCTTATATTATTATATATTTGTAATCCTCATAAAATTTAGAACAAAGTGGCTATTTTCAGATATTTATAGGCCTATAATTTATACAATTTCATTGAGCGCAAACTTATTTTTTTTCAATTTTTCCAAAATATTTTTTATTTTTACCTAAAAAATTTTTTTTGAAACAAATATTCCTTAGGTTTTATGTATGATATTGAAGCCCATGATTTTCCAAACAAAATGGTATATAGAACAGTAGAATTAACATTGTTTTAAGCTTTTCAGATCCGTTTTAATAAAACCTTGCAAATGCGCCAAAAGTAGGCGGACATTAAGGCCTAAACTATGGACACTCGGAGGGTAAAAAAAAAAAAATAATTTCAGGGTACTGAGTTAGTATGATTTCTTTAATATATTTGGATTAATATTGTAAGGGAAAAACGGGAAAAAGAGGGACACTGCACTTTAATCTGGCATGGGAAAGTTCATAAATTATTATGGCCAAGCCTCCATTCATTGATGCCATTTCTTTTTACATCGTGATTGGCGTTTGCTATCAAAAAGCATGTTTTTCATCCCATAAGGTTACAAAATCCTATCATAATTTAAGGGTATTAGTGTATGAATTAGGGAATATTGGGAATGGAAATGCTTTTTGCACCTCTGTTAATTCATAAGCATGTCACCATGCTTCTTGAGAGACTGGCCGAAGGCTGATTGTGGATGGAAGCTAAGCCAAGAATACCTACTAAGTTTCAAAGAAAGTAGGGAGTTAATCACCAAGGTAATGTGATTGTCAAATAGTAACAATATGTATTTTAGCAATTTAGCACTTAATTGTGAAATTGTATTTAAGTAGCAATTATTAGCTATACATCTTGGCTGTTATAATCGTTATGTCAAAAATGTTAATAAGACTTTTGGTTAGTAACCCAAACAGCTTTAAATTTGTAGATTAACTATTTTCAATATTTATTACCTTTAGGCATGCAAGGTTTCCCAGTCCGAGTTCTGCCCCCTTCAATAAAGAACTCAAAATTGTGTCCTGCGCTGAGACACTGCATCATGTACGTGTGCAGCAAGGCACGGTAGAGGGTATCCTTCTTGCCCTTGGCTGGATCCATCCTTCTCTTGATGAAGAACGCTCCTAGGCCCCTTAGCAACCAACTGCAACACATAATAAATATATTTAATTACATTAGGGAAATACATGCCCAATTTAGCGAATTTCCCTATAGGGAAGTAGCTATACCATAGACCTAAGACCAATTTACTTTTTCATTTTGATGTCCCCAGAGACCAAAAACACCATTCGTTCAAATTTTTATATATGTATATTCGAGAGCAGACAGGGGCTCCCAAACAGATGGAGAGTTTCCAATCAGCCGTGACCAGCATCTGGTCCTGCCTCACGTCTCACTACGGCGCCATGAGAGTAGACTTCAACCAGCCATTCAGTCTCAGAGTGAGTCAGCATCAGCAATATGTATATATACAGGGTGTTTGGTAGTCAATGTCAAATATTTTAAGTCAATATTATGCACAAACATTGCTATAAAATACGCAATTTGGATGGTTATATCTCACTCCTACTTCCGGCAACAGCCATTTTTAGAATTTTCAAAATTTCTTGACATCGCCTAATAAAATCTTATATTTCTCAACTTTTAATTTACAAAATGATATTTTCAATGGCATTTTTAGAATCTTCATTAAATTGTCTATCGAAAAACGTATAATATGGTACAGCTAAACCCATTTAAAATTTTTTAAATTTGACTTAAATAATATTTTTTGAAAAATCATTAAAAAGGGCGCTACAACTCGCTTAAGAAAATTTTTTACCAAGTCGTGTTAAAAACTGTCAAATAGTATAAAAAACATCCTCACATTTTAAGCTTTAAAATTATATGCAATATGTGACATGTTATGTCAGCCTAAGGGGATAAATATTGCTTTAAACATAAAATTAATCATTTTTTTCATTAACTGCACTCATTAATTACAAGAACGCATTTAGTGAAAGTTGTGTGCAAAAGGTATCTGTATAATCAAGTTTACCCCAAGTAAACTTATGAAATCTAATATTTTATTACATATTGAATACCATAGTACATAGTCAAAGGGCTTTGAGTTATTTTATACCAGGTTAATATAGAGAATTTTATAAATGCACAAGTCAGAGGTAATTAAAATAATAAATAATTAACATTATTTTTTAAATTTAAGTTATTTTACAGAAAAATTTTGAAATACAAGGCAATATTTTTTAAAATAACTGAACACAAACAGAAACATGGAAAATCTGCACCTTAAGAGTTTTAAATGTGTGGTTAAAACTACCTGTCTTTGTGTGTTCTTTAGCTTTTCTTTATTGCTTCAACTGTAATCTTATAGGAAAGGGTTCCTCTCAACTTTTGTACAACTACTGTCAATTATAGAGCTTTCTAAAGTCCTCTTCACTGTATACATCTGTAGTATACACTTCACCATCAAGGAATGAGATAGGCATAAGATCAGGGAATCTGGCTGCCCATGCAAAGGGTCTGCCTCGTCACAAAAATCTAGATGACTAAGTCTCTTACCTCATTAGCGTAATGAAGAGGAGTGCTGTTTTAAAATGTTGTAGTTTTTATTTAAGTTTGACCAAAATCTAAGTGATTAAATACTGAAGGTAGGGTGTATTGCAAAAACCTAGATAGTTTTGTCGATTAAGTTTGTCGAATAAATATATGCCCCATTAAATAAATTGTAGGGGTCTGCGGTGCACCGAAAAAGTCGGTACGGTACGGTACAAGCTTAATTACCGTCATCGGTTCGGTACAGCATTTTACACGGTACAAATTCGGTTCGGTACAGCCTAATTATAATAATAAATTACTTTCAGTTTACTATCGTAGTCAATGGTTCCGAGTACATAAAAGTCTTATCAGATGTTTGTTTACGATCTTCATAATTTATTACTAGGGTGATGATGCAATAAAAACCCCATTAGCAGTTCCAAATCCATTAACATTTTATCACGACAATAATTGTTGTATTCAAGTACTTCCAAGGACTATTGAGTTTTATCACTTTTATTTCTTTACGACTTTCTCCAATTCTATTTTATCATAAAAATAATAGTTTTATGATGACTGTTAAATGTTATCTCGAACTCAGTCAGTATTACCACTTTTTATTACCACTTTTTATTAATCTTAAAGTTCCCACCCTTACCTCCGTTTATACAGACTGTCCCAAAAGTCCCGGACTGGTTTAATATTTTCTAAACGGAAACAGATAAACCAATAAGATTTGGTACATCAACACCCCACCTAAAAATCTACTTTTTTAAGTAACTATCAATTTTCTGTCATATCATGGGGACGTCCCGCAAGGAGTCAGAAGGAAATCTTAAATAGAAGCATAGGTTGGCATGCACATCAAATTAAAGGTCTTTACTAGCAGAATATAATGCCGCAAATTTGAACTCACACGGACAACCGAGTCAATAATGACAGTTGTTCAAAGATTAATTTAATTTGCATTGCTATTATACGCTTACTCCTCTGGGGGCACAGCTCTAGGAATCGGAAGAAAATTGTTAACGTAAGCATAGGTCGATATGCACATCAAATTAAAGGTCTTCACTAGTAGATTACAATGCCGTAAATTCAAGCTCAAAAGAACGCCTGAGTAAAATATGGCAGTCGTTCAAAGATTCCAAATGGCGGATTCAAGAAATCTTTGAACGGCCGCCTTTTTGAGCAGGATCAACCTTTTGAAGTGCGGTTTGCGGCATTGTATTCTACTAAAAAAGACCTTTCATTTTATGTGCATATTGACCTATGCTCCTATTTAAGATTTCCTTCTGACTCCTTGCATATGACCCCATGTCCCCATGATATGACAGAAAATTCATAGTTCCTTGAAAAAGTAGATTTTTAGGTGTGGTGTTGATGTACCAAATCTTATTGATTTATCTTTTGTCGTTTAGAAAATATTAAACCGGTCCGGGACTTTTGGGACAGTCTGTATATTGGAATCAGCTATGATGATATGGAAATTTCCGGAAGTCTTCAAACGCAACCGCGAAATACATAATTACAACACCAGGCAACAAAACCATATAAACCTGAATTGTCACTGAACATCATTGGTAATAGCTGTTGGACCTCATCATACAGCAAGTAAGATATTTAATAAACTGCCAGAAGAAATAAGAAACTGCCAAGACAAAAATTTGTTCAAGAAAAAACTCAAAAATTATTTAATAGAAAAGGCACAAGTTGGAAGAATTTTTGTAGGATTAAGAGAAGATAGGTCCTACCTGAAAATTAAACAACTTTGACGACCACGGCTGGAAAGCTACTAGTGGGATCAACACAAGTATACAAGTAAGTATACAAGTATTTTCGTAGAAATTCAATTTGCCGCTGGCCATTGCCTACTGCCATAAAACTGTTTATGGCTACATATTAAACTTGTAACTAATCTACAATCTTATTTTATAAGTTAAAATATTTGTTATAGATATTTTATCTTTCTATTGACAACCACAAGCATAGTTGTTGTTGTTTGCATAATTTTTGTTTTCGTTATTCAAGCCTACTCGGTCTCAAATGATGTCTTTTATTTCAAATGTGTGATGATAAATAAGTTTTGTTTTTGTTTTTCAATTCTCTGCATGGTGTGTTGCAGGCTTAGGCTAAGATTTTGATGTATTGACGTTTCCTTGTACATATTATGCTTTCAGGAAATAAATCATTCTCATTCTCATTCTCATTCTCTCATTCTCGTCATTACATGTTCTGTATCTTGTCTTATATTGTTAGATGTGGCTGTTTAAGGCTTAAAATGTTTTTTAGTTTCCTGTATTTTTGTGTTGTGTTGAAGGTACTTTATGCAATCTAAATCTTATGAACTAGACAGTGATTTTGCTACCCTCATTGTAACCTAATTAATTTATATATAGGCCCCTCCTAAATAATTAGGTCTAGGCCTGGGTCTTTTGATTCTTTGGAAAAGCTTTAAAATATACTAAGAAAATTGGATTGAGCCTAAGATAAACTAATGATTGATTTGATTGATATAGTGGATGTTAACTTTGTAAATGAAAAGAGAATAATCTTACTCTGTGATAATCCAAATTTTAGTTTCCAAAAAAAACTTTTCCTGAGTTGTATCCATCTTATAACTAGTTTTGAAGCTGATACAAAAATATGCTCTTTGCCATTACTTCATCATAACCTCTAGTGAACAGCTGGCAACTACACTGTCATCGTACTGAACGCTTTTAGGCCTATATGTTTTAAAAAATTTTAAAAACAACTTGACATTGTGTTGGTTGGAAATAATTACCAGTTGTGTTAAATTATCTTGTCAATAAATGTTTCAAACATGTTAGTTCCTAAAAACTCTTATCATATTTTTAAAACCACTTTTATCATGGCTATTCAAAGTATCTCAGAGTAAAATAGGTAAAGCCTTTATCTTAACTGTGATTTTTCTTGACACAATCCTCGTAGTAGGGTTTTGTTTTAATATAATGTGTGGTACAGTTGTTGTTAGAAAACCATGAATGTAGGATACTATCCATTTTCATAGTTATGTCAATGTATTAAAGTTAAAAATAATGGTTTAAATACAGTTCTGAGCAGAAAACCGCAAAAATACGGGTAGCCGCGTACCGTACCGATTTTATACCGAGAACCGAGGTACAAAATAATGTACCGTACCGACCTTAAATTTTCTGTACCGCAGACCCCTAATAAATTGTTTTTAAATAATTTACGTGTGCAGTAGGTATATGCATCAAGAACATGCATCAGACATAACCTGTATTTAAGATTCTTAAGGTGCAGATTATCCATGATTTTTGTATGTTTCCAATAACAAATGTATTAGGCCTACCTTGTATTTAAAAATTTGTTCAGTAGAAATAATCTTAATTACATATGATCAGTATCTTCGTAATCACAACTAACGTGTGTATTTATAAATTTCACTACTTTTACGAGGCATTCAAAGCACTACAACTAGTTTGGGCTATACTATACTACAGTATTAAATTTTACAAGTTTACTTGGGGTATACTTTAGTATACAGATACCTTTTGCACACAACTTTCACTAAATGCGTTCTCGTAATAAATGAGTGCAGTTAATTAAAAAATGATTAATTTT